TATGCATAGATTGTTTTTAGATGTGATAAAATTTGTTATGTGAGTTAAATTTCTTGTTACATCGACAATGTATCAACCAATTGGTGACACCAAGCTTTGAATTTAACGTTTATCAACAAAATTATGGGATGCAACAATATTATTACCAATGTTTTAGCATATCAATAATGATTATATGTAGCATTGCTTTGAGAGATGTGGGGCAGTTGGTAGACTAATGGTTAAATCATCTGCTTGTCCCACTGAACACCTGGGTTCGATTCCCAACATGTGTGAAGCATATTTCTGATGTGCCCTGCCATGATATTCCTGGAATATTGCTAAAAGCGGCGTAAAATTATACTTAATATCTGGTTGACATTGTTGTAAAACAAGTAAGTAATATTGTAGAATAATTCTAGAAATCATCAAACAAAAACAATATTGAGATGAACAATAAACATTTTTTGTAAAACATTCCCCACTTGCAATATTAAGTCAATATTAAATTGATAACAATTGTTCCAGCTGATTCTGCAATTCGCTGCCAGCGTCTCATTACTCAACCCTCCCTAATTCCCATGTGAATGTTTTCTTGGCTTGTTCCAAGCATGAAAACAACACAAAAATGTTATCAAGATTATTGAACCATATTTGCTCCAGAGGCGGTAATAACAGCTTTCTTTCTGAAAGCAATTTCCTTTCCTCAATGACCAAGTGATTTTATCAGAATTGCACGTCATTTCTTGCTTGATTGATGTGGAACCTCAGATAAATCAATGTTTGATAGGAAAGATTTTCAGAAGCACCCCTATAGGACACAATAAGACTTATAAAACATGTAATAACTCACTATAGTGACTGCCAACAAAGCATGGCACTTTATGTTTTACAAGTAAAGTCACAAAAGTATATTGTTTGTATGCCAAGATATATATATATATATATATATATGATGTACATGTGTCTTGCTTGTTTCTGTAAATTTAGCAGCTGCCAGTGTAGATTTCATTGTCTGAGAATTGTAGATTAAAATGTTTATGTTGAACCCCTTTCATCCTGGCACTACCATTCCTGGTGATATCATCAAGGAACATTTCTGAATTAAGGATCACAGGTACATAGGTAGTCCATTCACTGTTGTAAAGTCATTTGTAATAATAGCTTTTTCAGTATTAAAGGATCTGTGAAGATCCGGGTTAGAATTGATCTTCAGTAACCCATGCTTGTCATAAGAGGCGACTTACGGGATCGGGTGGTCAGGCTCGCTCTTTAGTTGACACATGTCATCTTATCCCAATTGTGTAGATTGATGCTCATGATGTTGATCACTGGATTATCTGGTCAGGCTCGATTATTACAGACTGCCGCCATATAGCTGGAATGTTGCTGAGTGCTGTGTAAAACAACAAACTAAACCAAACCATAAACAGTATTAAAGAGGTAGATGCTTGATTGGCATTTTAGAAGATGATATTTGATGAACAGAGATTTTTTCTGGGTTACATCTTCTTTTTATTCTCGAGTACAACGTTTCAGGGCTTGTTCTGGCCCCATCATCAGGTAAACTGAACAGTAACTGTTAACTCTGGCTGTGACGTCACAATGCTTATGACTTATGTTGTACTCGAGAATAAAAAGAAGATGTAACCCAGAAAAAATCTCTATGTTCAGTATTAAAGAGATCCTGATTTGACTGCACGACAATATAGTAACATGGCTTTGTTGCAGTTAAAGAACAACATAAAACAGGTTTGACTTAACACAATATAGTTTTGTTGCAGTTTAAGACCAACATAAAGCAGATGATACTTTAGGGAAATGTAACGATCAATCATTCATAGCTTTTATGAGGTATGAGTATAGTGTTAGTGTGTTAGGGTTTCCATGTCAAAAGAAGGTTCATAACTTAAACATACATCCTGTACTGGTGCTTGCCAGGTAATGGTGTATGGTGCTGCTGTGTTGAGTAACAGAAGAGGCAGGGGTAGATGGGCAGTCTCAGGGGTAGGTGGCAGGGTGCTGGAGGCACTGACTGGCTCAGGGGTGGGTGGCTATCAGATAGGCATTGACTGTCTCAGGGGTGGTACCTAGGGTGCTGGGGAAATTGACTGTCTCATGGGGGGTTGGGGGTGGGATGTCAGGTTGCTGGAACGATTTGGTTGTCTCTGGGGTGGGTGCAAGGGAGCTGGAGTCATTGATTGTCTCAAGGGTGGTGCCTAGTCTTTTAAGGCTGTTGATTCTCTCAAGGGTGGGTACCTAGAGTGCTGGAGTCATTGACTGTCTGGAGGATGGTAACGTAGGGTGCTGGGGTCATTGACTGTGTGGAGGGTGGTAACATAGGGTGCTGGGGTCATTGACTGTCTGAAGGGTGGGTACCTAGGGTGTTGGAGTCATTGACTGTCTGAAGGGTTGATACCTAGGATTCTGGAGCCATTGACTCTCTGAAGGGTGGGTACCTAGGGTGTTGGAGTCATTGACTGTCTGAAGGGTTGGTACCTAGGATTCTGGAGCCATTGACTGTCTGGAGGGTGGTAACATAGGATGCTGGAGCCATTGACTGTCTGAAGGGTGGGTACCTAGGGTGTTGGAGTCATTGACTGTCTGAAGGGTTGGTACCTAGGATTCTGGAGCCATTGACTGTCTGAAGGGTGGGTACCTAGGGTGCTGGATCCATTGACTGTGTGGAGGGTGGTAACGTAGGGTGCTGGGGTCATTGACTGTCTGAAGGGTGGGTACCTAGGGTGTTGGAGTCATTGACTGTCTGAAGGGTTGGTACCTAAGATTCTGGAGCCATTGACTGTCTGAAGGGTGGGTACCTAGGGTGTTGGAGTCATTGACTGTCTGGAGGGTGGTAACATAGGATTCTGGAGCCATTGACTGTCTGAAGGGTGGGTACCTAGGGTGCTGGAGCCATTGACTGTGTGGAGGGTGGTAACGTAGGGTGCTGGGGTCATTGACTGTCTGAAGGGTGGGTACCTAGGGTGTTGGAGTCATTGACTGTCTGAAGGGTTGGTACCTAAGATTCTGGAGCCATTGACTGTCTGAAGGGTGGGTACCTAGGGTGCTGGAGCCATTGACTGTGTGGAGGGTGGTAACGTAGGGTGCTGGGGTCATTGACTGTCTGAAGGGTGGGTACCTAGGGTGTTGGAGTCATTGACTGTCTGAAGGGTTGGTACCTAAGATTCTGGAGCCATTGACTGTCTGAAGGGTGGGTACCTAGGGTGTTGGAGTCATTGACTGTCTGAAGGGTTGGTTCCTAGGATTCTGGAGCCATTGACTGTGTGGAGGGTGGTAACATAGGATGCTGGAGTCATTGACTGTCTGAAGGGTTGGTACCTAGGATTCTGGAGCCATTGACTGTCTGAAGGGTGGGTACCTAGGGTGCTGGAGCCATTGACTGTCTGGAGGGTGGTAACGTAGGGTGCTGGGGTCATTGACTGTCTGAAGGGTGGGTACCTAGGGTGTTGGAGTCATTGACTGTCTGAAAGGTTGGTACCTAAGATTCTGGAGCCATTGACTGTCTGGAAGGGTGGGTACCTAGGGTGCTGGAGCCATTGACTGACTGTGGAGGGTGGTAACGTAGGGTGCTGGGGTCATTGACTGTCTGAAGGGTGGGTACCTAGGGTGTTGGAGTCATTGACTGTCTGAAAGGTTGGTACCTAAGATTCTGGAGCCATTGACTGTCTGAAGGGTGGGTACCTAGGGTGCTGGAGCCATTGACTGTCTGGAGGGTGGTAACGTAGGGTGCTGGGGTCATTGACTGTCTGAAGGGTGGGTACCTAGGGTGTTGGAGTCATTGACTGTCTGAAGGGTTGGTACCTAAGATTCTGGAGCCATTGACTGTCTGAAGGGTGGGTACCTAGGGTGTTGGAGTCATGGAGTCTGAAGGGTTACCTAGGACTGGAGCCATTGACTGTCTGAAGGGTGGGTACCTAGGATTCTGGAGCCATTGACTGTCTGGAGGGTGGTAACATAGGATGCTGGAGCCATTGACTGTCTGAAGGGTGGGTACCTAGGGTGTTGGAGTCATTGACTGTCTGAAGGGTGGGTACCTAGGGTGCTGGAGCCATTGACTGTCTGGAGGGTGGTAACGTAGGGTGCTGGGGTCATTGACTGTCTGAAGGGTGGGTACCTAGGGTGTTTGGAGTCATTGACTGTCTGAAGGGTTGGTACCTAGGATTCTGGAGCCATTGACTGTCTGAAGGGTGGGTACCTAGGGTGCTGGAGCCATTGGCTGTGTGGAGGGTGGTAACGTAGGGTGCTGGGGTCATTGACTGTCTGAAGGGTGGGTACCTAGGGTGTTGGAGTCATTGACTGTCTGAAGGGTTGGTACCTAGGATTCTGGAGCCATTGACTGTCTGAAGGGTGGGTACCTAGGGTGTTGGAGTCATTGACTGTCTGAAGGGTTGGTACCTAGGATTCTGGAGCCATTGACTGTCTGAAGGGTGGGTACCTAGGGTGCTGGATCCATTGACTGTGGAGGGTGGTAACGCAGGGTGCTGGGGTCATTGACTGTCTGAAGGGTGGGTACCTAGGGTGTTGGAGTCATTGACTGTCTGAAGGGTTGGTACCTAGGATTCTGGAGCCATTGACTGTCTAAAGGGTGGGTACCTAGGGTGCTGGAGTCATTGACTCTCTCAGTTGTGGGTGTAATTTTACATTAAAACTTTTATGACAAGTTGCATGCATACTATATTTTAATTTTCCATGTCAAAATGACATCTGATATAATGTAAGGAAAGACACTGACCCAACTTCTGATTCTCTCTCTCCATCTTAGTGTAACATCACGTTATGTCAACTGTCAACTGGGTTACAGCAGATTGCCAAACTGGTTTCATCTGTAGTTATTGAGTATACATTATTGATTTCCTAATTGTCAGTTTATTGATCATGGGACATGGCATGCGGCTTGGCTGATGACAGTAATGATACTGTGACTGGCCAGGCATGACATCCAGCCTGGACTCGCTGCAGGTAGAGTCTGCATCCCGACAGGTAGGTTGGCCAGCCTGACCGTGACTCTGGACCCACATCGTGGTCGATTGTTGTCACAGTACACAGTATTGATTCTTCGCACATCACACTTTCAGTAAAGAATGGTTGTTTCTACTCTTCCTGCTAAAGGCTATAGACATGAGACATCTTGAATCAATTTGGTTTCCTACTGAAGACTTCAGTGTTTGCACAGTGTATCGTGTTCAGTGGTTAGAGAGGCTGTTCTGTGGTGCAGGTGCTTGTGTTGTGATGCTGTTGTGTTAACCTCCCTGCTTCACGGATTTCACCAACTCTAGCTTCACTGTGTGGGTGTGTTTTCATTTTCCTCTATCACACTGTGTGGCAGAAGGTCGTATTGGAGAACGGCGTCCTTGACAACACAGGTTTGTTGATGGTTTAATCATTTTGCAGTACTGATTTGTTTATTAATACTTCAATGGTTATGGGCTGAGGAAGCAAAATTCTGACAAATTTAGGTAAAATTAAGTGTAGCTTCCGCCACCATAATTTAGTCAATTACCAAGTGATGATATTCTGGTGATAACCCAAGATCCAAGGAATTCACAGATTACATAAGTTATTGACATAATACTGTAGAACGCATGAAAATAACAATCATTTGGTCACCAATGGTATAACAATACTTTGACTAGTCTTTGAATGGCATGTAGACGTCACACTTAAGGCAGATATCAATGAATGCATAATTCTTTATGAAGGACAAAATATCTTTACTCCATTATGTAAAAGCACTCTACTCTTTTAGATAGAGAAGCTGACATCCAGAATTCTTTCCTTGATTCTTTGACTGAAATGTTGGTTACATATTGTCATCATGTCACTGTACAACTGCCTTGCCCAGTCCCAATACACAAACAAGACAATAAATTCTTTGAAGAACAAGGGCACGCATGTATTGTGCATGTGCAGTCAAGGGGAACTCCATATAACTCCAGATACTCACTCCAGAATATTTATATCGGTCAGATGTAATAAAATTGTCTCACAAGTGTAAAAAATACTATTTTGAACCCCTATCAAGAGCTTCCAGTCTTTATATTTTGAATGAACCCATGTTTGATGAACAAAATATAATTCCTTCTATTTTTATGTTATTGTGTGTTTGAAACAAAGATAAACAATGTCAGGAGTGTATTTGAGAAAATGATTTTGAAGTGAAATTTATGGTAGTGATAAATTCTCTTTGCATTTTTTCTGTCAACGCTGCCAGTGCTGTAATCCTTGTGTGAGCTGTGTAAGCCAGTGGATCAACATACTATCACAGTTACATTAAAGCATATTAAGAAACAGGGATTTATCCACATGAATGTCACCTGTTTTATACAAAGCTCATTAAGAGGTTTATTTTCTCTTTGGCATATATGGGAGAATTACACTGCAATACTTTGAAAATACATCATGGATTGTGACTCTTAATAAACAACAAGTGTATGTTATGTCCATGTATGACAGCAGGTATAATTTGTTTGTTTGTTTGTTGTTTAATGCTGCACTCAGCAATATTCCAGCTGTATCATCGCAGCAGTCTTTAAATAATCGAGTCTGGACCAGACAATCCAGTGATCAACAGCATGAGCATCAATCTACGGAATTGGGATATGATGACATGTGTCAACCAAGTCAGCGAGTCTGACCATCCCGATCCCACCTCTTATGACAAGCATGGGTTGCTGAAGATCAATTCTAACCGGATCTTCATGGGTGACAGCAAGACTATAGCAATGGTGCATACCTTCAGGCATCATTAACACAGATCAACATTATTGAAACTTGTTTCCCAAATTCCATAATGCCCTTCATAGACTGTCAGTAAGCATATCTGCATAAGCATATCCTGCACTGGACAGTGTTAATGGTTTTCTGAAGCTGCACAGACTTTACTCCACTCATAGTTATTTGTGATTCCGGTTGTTAAAGACACGGGACATTTGAAAGGTCCTAATAATGTCTTCTTCCTATAATTTTTCTCCCAGGGTGTTGTATACTTCTCAAAACAACTTTAGGACAACCCAATTCTTTTTCTTTAATATTATGGTATGACAGATTAACTTTGTTCCTGTTTAATGCCTCACTCAACAATTTTCCAGCTGGACAGATAAGCTGTAGTAAAAGCAGGTTAAATACAAACTCCACTGTGTTGAAGCTGAAGCTGAAGCAACCTACATGCTTCAAGTATTTAGAGATTTGGCACAACTGCAAAATGATGACTATATATGTATAGCAGGGTGTTGAGTCATCCCACAGATTACATCCTCACCTTGTCAGCTTGCCGATGGGGTTAACCTCTTTGGTCATGTGGACGAGGTGTCTGACTTCAGATGAGAAGGTCCGTGGTTCGAATCCCAGCAAGGGACTTGTTTATGGCTGCTACATATGGGAGGAGCAGGCACCCTGAACCAACCTAAAGTTCAATATTTCATTTTATTATTTATTCATATATATTTGTATAGTGCCAATATCCAGCTCAGCTGCTCAAAGGCACTTTGTTTTTCCCTCGATCATTGGATGTCAATCTCAAACGGCACATTGTATTATCAATCTCAACTCCCTGGGGAGTATACATCAAAGTCTGACACAATGGTGTTCCACTGTTTAATAATCTAAAAGTATGAGCAACTATGTTGAGTAGTTGTGAATGTATGGTGCATATGGAGAAGTTGAGCTAATGCTACTATTCCAGATCTATAAAAGTTATATTCATACATTATTATTGGTTTTGTTTTTGTAGGTATTTCCAAGGTCAAGCTAGTCACTTTCCAGAAGCCTTTCTACCACCTCTCCAACATGTCCAGCTATTCACGCGGGAGGCCAGGTTCCCTTCTGGAATCATCCAGCTCAGGACGTTCTCACTCACCCAGTCCAGTAAGGAAGACATGGCCTCACCCAGAGATCAAGATGACCAGGGCACAAGAACTCAGACAGAAGCCTATGCAATCATCTAGAAAACTCCAGGTCAAGCCTGGTCTTCCAGGTGATGAGGGTCTGATAGTAAGGAACTCCCTGAGCAGTCTTGGATCTCAAGAGTCTTTTCACATATCCAGATATTCAACTTCAAACACCTCTATAAGTTCTCTGGGTAGGGAGTCATCTTCTTACAAAGCCCCTCAGAGTCCGAAGGGAGAGCCAGGTAAATCGGTTATAGACAGGTTATACAAAGCACCTGAGGTCAAACATGATTTCTTGAGAAAGTCAAACAGAGGATTGCCTGAAGGAAATTATCGGAGAATGAACAGTGGTGATAAAAATTATTCGAGAACTGTAAGACGTAAAGTATATGACTGGGTGAATCGCAAAGTGAAATCTCAGGATGACGTCCGTGATGAGACAAAATATTCGAGGGCAAGAACACATAGAACAAGGCGAAACTCGTACCCACTAGGAGCAGACAACTCTGTACATGCCCTTAGCGATGAGGTGGAAAATGGATATAAGGAACATGGGCCACGGTTTATACAGTTCTACTTTCAGAAGGGCTGGAGATGGCTAGGTCCAAGGGTCGACAGGTTTCTAACTTGGATAACTGTTGGTCCCAAACTTCCTGCTGCAACTAATGAGGAACGGTACATTTGGGAAGAGAGAGAGACCATTGCGCAGCCGTACGATCCCGAGGAGTCATATGTGGACATGCTGGACATGCTGTGTGGAGAGGTGACCATGGACAAGTTCTCAGAATTTGTCCATGTATATGACGGAGATGATGTCCCCAAGCCTGTCATTCCCAAGAAGGAACCAGAAGAAGTTCCTAAGCCTGTTGTGCCCAAGATAGAACCAGAAGTTCCTAAGCCTTTAATGGACCATGTAGCCGTACAAACAGAGAGAGTCAAGTAAGTGCATTAGTATCAATGAAGCCTTGTTCTGTGCATAAGAATGGTTGGTTGGTTGTATTGATTTGAGCAGTAAATGTGAGTGAGTGAGTTTAGTTTTACACTGCTTTTAGTGATATGTTCTGCAGTATCACGATTGGGGACACCAGAAATGGGCTTCACACTTTGTACCCATGTGGGGAATTGAACCTGGTTCTTTGGTGTGTCAGGCGAACACTTTAACCACTAGGCTACCCCACCTTCCCGAGCAGTGAATGTGTAAATGGTATAATGTAGCACTGTGTCTGATCCAGCCTGGATCTGCTGGTGATGTGTTCGAATCCTGTATTAGCTCCAGATATTATCCTTGGATTTTCACCCTCTGCATTCCACCATGGTTGTACTCAAAATGGTCACAATAATGTCTTTTACCTGATTAAGGATTTCTCACATAACAATTCTTGTGTACCCCGCTGTTCTATTGTTGGAATATTGCTAAGGCCAGACCAATTTTATTTCTTGTTTTATGGATCCTCCTGTCAGATTTGTTCAAGAATAAGAAACAAAATAAAAGTTTATTTTCCCCACTCAAAAAATAAAATCCTTATGTTTTTATTGGCCAAAAATGTAAACATACAAGAAAATTTGTTTTTAGATTGTTTTTTGCCCAATGTACACTTCATAAAGTGCCTAAAGTAACATACTTTGAATATTTAGAAGGAATATTAGTTTGACTGGTGATTTTAGTTATATATTTTTTCCCTCCTGCCTTTAGGTTTTCTGAGAACAAAAATCCGTAAAACAAGAAATAAAATTGGTCTGGCCTAAATGTGGTGTAAAACTAAACTCACTCTAACATAAAATATATACTTACTGAGTTTTAAGACAAATTACTCACTCAATACCTGTCAAGAGAACTTGAATGAAACAGAAAACAATTCCAAGCTAGGCACTGTTGTTCATAGCTATATTCAACACTATTGTTTTATGTCATGAAGAACATTAAGGGTGTGTAATGCCCTTGTTGATGAACAGAATTGTCTCAATCTAATTCTTATTACAGTGTAACAGACATTCATATACAATCTTGTGATGTTAAATATTAAATCAAAATTGTGAAAATTGGCTTTAGTGAGTGATGGTGGTACATGAAAGATATATTTAACCACTACCATCCTGACAATTATTACATTCTGAAATTTGTGTTACATTCTAATTTTAATAAGCAAATTGTAATTCCTGATCTAAATGGCCTGGAAATGATTGAATCTGCACTTCAGTGTAATACTACCACTGACTGCCTCCATGGTGTAATGGATACGGTGTCTGCTCAAAGAGCTGAATGTCGGGGGTTCAGTCCTATCATAACAACAAATGTTAAAATACGGTACTTGTTGCTACCCTGCCTGTTTTTTGGGTGAGTGAGTGAGTTTAGGTTTACGCCTCTTTTAGCAATATTCCAGCAATATCATGGCAGGGGACACCAGAAATGGGCTTCAAACATTGTACCCATATGGGGAATCGAACCCGGGTCTTCGGTGTGACGAGCGAACGCTTTAACCATTAGGCTACCCCACCTCCCCCTGTTGCTTGAGATCAATGCAAATAACACAAGGACTGTTTTGTTTGAAGTCAGTATACTGTGTCTGAAGGTATCTATGACAAACTGTGGAATGGCATGTCCATGCTAGCAACATGAAACCAGCATTAGTCCAGACTAGTACAGACTAGTACAACCAGCCACACACGTACACATGCATGCACATCTCTATATATGTGCGATATTTTTAACACATGTAAATCCATTCTTCACTTAACCTCACAATTCCAACTGAGCTATAGGCTTTCTCAGCATTTTTGCTTCAGAGAAGTTCATGAAGGATCAACATATTCAACAACTGAAGTTGTGGATCTAGGATTTAAAAAGTGAGGGGTCATTTCTAACTTCAGCTGGTGGTGGAGTCCACCCAATAGCCTACCCAAAATATTGCAGTCATGTTCTCGTGTTATCACAGTCGGCACATACAAAATTTCATCGGATGTGAAAAACATAAGCCTCTCACCCCTGGATCAGGCACTGAATGCATTTACAATTTTGAAAAAGAAATATTTTTAGAGGAGCCAGTATGAATGGACAATCTATAGCTAGACACACAGGTGTTCTTCCTGGTACCCAGATGTACCCCTCTGATATTTTGTTGAATGTGCAGTGGCTGAGTGGGTTAAATTTTGTGCTGGTAGTTAGATGCCTCAATCTAAGAGAGATAGATAGAGAGATAGATAGAGAGATAGATAGAGATAGATAGATAGATAGATAGATAGATAGATAGATAGATAGATAGATAGATAGATAGAGAGAGAGAGAGAGAGAGAGAGAGAGAGAGAGAGAGAGAGAGAGAGAGAGAGAGAGAGAGAGAGAGAGAGAGAGAGAGAGAGAGAGGTGTATCCAATGGTGTGTCCCAATACTCAAATGAAATGAACTTGTCGGTTACAGGTTTGATGCATGGACAAACACATACAAACCGATTATGGTGAACAAACTTGTTGGAGCCGGAGCAAAGAAAAACATGAGTACAAGCACTTCCGACCTGAGCAAGCATGTGAAGGCACGGACTGCCGTGGGTACCACTACAGCTGATCTCAGGGACCTAGCCAATCCTCGGGGCATTCCAGCAATCCGTGTAGATGCTGGTACATCAACCAGTGACCTGTGCGATGACTGGAGTGACTCCACTCTCACCCCCAGGGCATCACCGGTCTCGGTGGTTCAGGATGATGTGTCTCCAGCAAACTACGATTCCCTCTATTCCGAGAACCTCAGGAGAAGTCTCATTGACAAGGTGAACAATTACTACAAGGAGATTACCATCAGCAACCTCCATGGCAACAAGTGGGCAGACAGGAGGAGATCGTCAAAGGCTGTGATGACTGATGATGAAACAATGGAGATTCATACCGAGCTGAACAAACTAGCCTCTGAACGGATCGAGATAATAGAACTTCTTGCCTTACATATCCCCAACTTGCCATCCTGTTTGACAGTTGAACTCCTTGAGGCTAAACTGAACTACTCTATTGGGCAGACTGATCAGTTGCTAGCCCTCCTAGAAGACTCTTGGGAACTTGAGGCCAGACTGCCAAACTCCACTCGAAGCAAGGAACTGGTGAACATCACACAGGAAATCATTCTTCAAAGCAGAGTTGAACTTGAAGAGTCCAAGAAGGCCATCAAACTGTGTCTGGATGAGGTGAGGCACATTCAGGCTGGGGGACACAGCAGAAACAGGTTTCTCAACAGAGAGATCATGAAAATGAAGAGAAGGGCTGAGATTGAAGCTTTCAAGCTGGAAAGAATGTGGGAACAACTGTTTTATGAGAGGTCCAAAAAGGAAGAAAGGTTCCTAAGGTCTGTCTATTCTGGCTATGAAAGGTCCCCGTCTGTTTCCAGCACTGATTCTGCTGTAGATGCTATGGAGAAATATGTTCACTTCTTGACGGATCTCAGGAAGAGAAGTGCATTGGCTGCCTCAGAAGATGAGCTGAATGATCTGAGAATGCGATCCCCCCTGTCTCAACATGACATCAATGACTACCATAACCGCAGCTGGGACACATACAGCCTTGCGTCTACATCATCACAAGCCTCACAGCACAGGGACTACATAGCTGAACTCAAGAGGCAGATGGCTTTGGACAAGGAGCGAGATTTTCCATCCTCCCGATCTAGATCAGAGTCTCATTGTAACTGCAGTTTCTCGTCCACTAACTCCCGGCTGTCCTCTTCCTCACATGTAGATTCAGGCCTGGGTCAGTCTTCTTCCAGCTATGCAGCCCAGCCACAGTACTCCAGCAGCTGGTCCAAGAGGTACATAGGACCTGGATCTCTGTACACTGCAAGTTCCAAGTCAACCACTTACAGAAGGTACATACCATTGGTACTCTGATTTGATATTTCTCTTTAAAAAATATCACTGATAAACAATATGTTCCATATTTGTCCTAATGCTTCTTTAATATGTTACAGCTCTTCCCAACAGCCCTCTTCACTGTACATGTCTCAGGTTGACCACTTGAGCCCTACACGTCCAAGTTACAGGTCAGCAGGCAGGTACTCGGTCAAGTAGAAGATCAACTTGTCCCTACTGTCCAAGAGGATGCCATACCATTCTGGTATCCTGGATGCCAAGCACTAGTTAGTGGTATTGCAGATGGTATGTAACATGTATTACCAACGTCTGTGTGGACACCAATATTCCAGTATTGACGTGTTTCTTGCAAAGAGTGAAAAATGAAGAATAAATTTGGCACTTAGGTTGTAAGCACACATGGTCATGTATTCTATGTGAAATATCAGTCTACTCTACACATACCAGCTGCATATGCTGACATGACTCAAGCCATAAATTGGATGCTAAGGACAAAATTAAGTGGTATGCCGTCTGGCTGTGGTACAGGTCAGTAGGCAGGTAGTGTGTCAGCTTTCAAGCAGAAGATCATCAACACGACCTTTCATGGCCATGGCACAGATTGGCAGGCAGCAGATACAGATCATTGTTTCTGGCATCTTTCCATGACAGACTTTGTATCAATTTATAATACTTCAAAAGACAACACATTTGAAATCAAATATAAATGTTTCGTATTTCTCTACTTTGAAGTATGCTGCTGAGTGAATCTGTAAGACAATTAACTAACCATTACTACTATTATGTCCATACCTATTAATTTTTAAGCACATATATACCTACACTTTGTATAGTTGTGACACATGAGTGTAGAGTTATCTCCCTTTAATTCTTTACGTGGTACCTAATCACAGAGTGTAGCAGTTTCATGTGTTTCAAAGATGTGCATGTGCAAGTTGGATGTGGACACACAAGAAAGATGTGTATGTACAAGAAGGATGTCTACATACCAGAAGGATGTGCACACAAAAGAAGGATTTATAGCAGTGTATGAAATAAGTAAAAAATTCAGCCAGACATCAGGGCTGGTAACTTCAAAATGTTACCTGCCCCAAATGGATTTAACCAGACCAAACATGGTGGATTTACTCAGATGTATGGAACATCTAAAAAAATTTACCAGACCATCGGCTGGCTAGCTGTAAATTTAGACCGTCCGTCAGAAATCTAGAGCGTCTCGGGAGGTTGGACGAGCTTAAATATTTCATACACTGTTTGTATGCGCCAGAATGATGTGAACACAAAAGACAGATGTGTACATATCAGAAGGATGTGTATCAACAAGGAGAATGTACATAATTTGTACTATTTTCTGAAAACCAAATTGCCAATGGTGCCTTGTTTTCAGAATCAGTATATTTGGAAAAGCACCGTGGAGAAGAATGTATATATACCAGGGTTAGCATGGATTTAGATGGTCTTTGTCATCTTATGACATTTACACATTATGATAGAACTCATAACCTTGTTTATTTAATACTAACTCAAATCCAAAGCTTTGTCTGTGATAACATGTGTCATGTATTCTTATGGAACATGGTGTTAGGTAAGTAGTACAGGGGGTGTTGTGACTATGTATGTAGCATATATTGAGAGAATTTTACTGAAAATATTTGTGTTGCAGTCCAGATAGCTAATATTTACTGGTTAAAGATTCAAGGCAGCTCATTGTGATGACAAATAGATATACAACTCAAGAGAAGTAAAGAATACTATAGTTAATCTGCCATAACATTATAGAAATATTATCAGGTGTTCTTTAGCTTCTTTCCAGTAGTATATCTATCATTTAGACAAGACGGTATAGTAAATGTCTTAATGTTATGTTTAAGGAAGATTGAAAAACGGATATGTTTCTTCAATATCTATTATAAATTAAGCAAATAGTGATGAATAGTTGACATTTGTGTTCGACAGATGATATAAATTTCAGCAAATAAGTGAAAATATACAAAATATCCTCTTCCATCTGTGCAGAATGAATACACTAGTCAATCTCTAGATGTCCCTGATATATGAACTTTAGGCCAGACCAATTGTATTTCTTGTTTTACGAATCCACAGTACTTTTTGAAGAATAAGAACAAAAATAATAAAATGTTTTTATTGTCCAAAAATGTAAACTTACAAGAAAACTTCTGTTAGATTGTTTTTTGCCCCATATACACTTCATAAGTTCCCAAAAGTAAAATACTTTTAGTATTTAGAAGTAATATTACTTTGACTGATCATTTTATTCTATTTTTTTTTTGACCTCCTGCCTTCAGGTTTTCTGAGGAAAAAAATCTGTAAAACAAGAAATAAAATTGGTCTGGCCTTATATAATTATTAAACCAATTAGTATAGAGGAACCATGGCTTCTGTATTCCATTGTTTTGGGGAGACATACCCTTCAAAACGTATACCACATCAAATATTAAATGATTATAATAACATACTGTTACCTCATTTGGGTCACACCAACTTTTGTTTTAAATAAAATTTGGCAGAACTGTAACCAAAACAAACACCACAAGATGCAATGTTTAATGTTCAAGCCAATATTTGTTAGAAGTTGCTTAATGTAAAACATGAACATAAAAAATCAGAACCATAGAATAAGTGTCAGATATAAAATTCAAAACAATGAGATAACATTTTTAACAGGTTTTAATGGAAGGATATTAAATAACTGATATATATTGACAGACACAGTAAATCAATTTGTATTTTTTAAAATCCTACTTATGTCTGGTCAAGAAAATATTTAAAAAAACCCACTGCTTTAATTTTTATATATTTTTCACATTATAATGTTTTTAGTCTGAGGATTTGTAAACACATTTGAAAATAACACTTGTCTAACATATGATTTACTCAGTGCTATTGTGTGAAACACAACTTGCTTACAATGTAGGGTGTGATTTCAGTCTTTTTTTCAGTACCTGCACCAAGTGCAACCTGGCTTGTAGGTTTGGCTGCACCATCAAAATTTTGGTTGCACCACCAAAATTTTGGTTGCACCACAAAATATTGTCATTGGTTCTAAAACGTAAGATAAATACTTGTTTATCAATTCTCATAACAAGCACTCAGTATCGGATTCATTCAGCAGAAGTTGACCTCATGATGATAACGATGAATGATTCAACAAAATCTTCATGTTTTTATTGGCCAAAAATGTTAACTTACAACAACAAAATTTGATTGTTTTTTGACTCATATACACTTCATAAATTGCCAAATATAAAATACTTTTGGTATTTAAAAGGAATATTACTTTGACTGGTGATTTTTATTTTTTATTTTTTTCCCTCCTGCCTTTAGGTTTTCTGAGGACAAAAATCCGTAAAACAAGAAATAAAATTGGTCTGGCCTTACCTTATTTATTAATCTCAATTATATGATTAGTGCAATTTAACTGATTAATGAGTACACAAATGTTCATGTTTGTAACAAGTCTTGTTACTTCCAGTCACTTACTTCCCAATTAAAACACACGATGACAGCTGTAAGACGTTGATTTATTGTTACGTGCACTGGGTGCAACCTGTTACTGAAGGCAACCAGCACCAGCCATGTTGAACATGCACGGTGCAGGTTGTAAATAGCGAAATCACACCCTGCAATGGCTGCATGTAGAATACTCAAGTGGTGGTGGTGGTGGAATTGGGTTTAACGTCGTGCTTGAGAATATTTTCCTCATATGCATCGCGGTATGTGCATGCTTGTACTAGCCCAGGCTGAAGATGGTTTTATAGTGCTAGCCCACTGAGATACCATCAGTGTAGGAAAGATGTAGAAAATCTAGCCTGTCCACAGGACTGGCAGGCTTTTACCAGTCCTGCCAAAATCTAGCCTGTCCTCCAAATATAAATACCCCAGTAAACTGTTATAATCATTATATATACTAAAATTGACCCGACATGAGGCGGACTAGATATTTTTGAAGCCTGAATACCCCACTCAGACACTATTATACCTGACTGAAGCATGAATACCCCACTCAGTCCTACTGTTGATCAGTCCTTGTTGTACCAATTTATGCCGAGCGCCAGGCAGGGACCAACAAGCACCATATTTTAACGTCTTTTGGTATGACGCGGTCAGAAAATACTCAAGTGAACTGTGATACAACTTGTACATGTTTGAGCACTTATGTGATCTTTTCAGCATTTAAAGTGGGCACTTAACATAATACTCACTCATTTATATCCCAGCTTGTGATACACATATATAGTGGCCACGAGTAACTGACTAACAGATAGCACCAAGACAACTCCATATGGCTGTGTTACCACTAGTGTCCTTCATTGTTGGTGGTTATGATGTTGTAATAAAATATATAACTGAGGTGTCTTGACTTAATTTATGTCAAAAGAGAGTGAGTGAGTATGATTTTACGCCGCTTTTAACAATATTCCAGCAATATCAAGATGGGGGACACCAGAAATGGGCTTCACACAGTGTACCCATGTGGGGAATTGAACCCGAGTCTTCGGCGTGATGAGGGAACGTTTTAACCACTAGGCTACCCCACCGCCCCTTATGTCAAAAGAATTGAATGGGCAAACATTTATTGTGAATAACACATTTCAGAGGGTATGCCTGCTCCTTCATCAGGTTGAAGTTGACATCCATTAATCTTGCTTTACTTATGCAATCCACTTCTAAATGCCCTTCAAAGATTCAGTACTGATTATATTACTCCAGGGTGCCGTTGTACACAGCAACCTTAGCACCATGTTAAGATATGGGAGTTACGGTCACCTTAGCACTAAGATCACTTTGTACAACAGCACACAGAACAGTTACTTATGATGACCGGGAAACGTTCCACTGACTAATGCAAATCTCTGTCTGACATCTTTGATGTTTTCCCTTTAAAATACCCTAAGCTCTGTGGCTGATAGCAAACTGCAAATCTCGCTTTAAAAATTGCTACTGACTCTAAACATTTTCTTCATAATGAATACAAACTTTAACCATCTGGATGCCGTTTTCAAACCCTCGTTTCAGAACCAACAGAACAGCACAATCCTATTCAACCCAGCATAGTTAGGGATAGTATGTACATTTTGAAATTATGAATAATGATCTATTTATTCATTGACACACTGATAAAATATCAATCATAAAAATACCAATATCCCTAACTTATTTTGTCCAGTATATTTGAACAGAGTAACTCTTGTAGTCATCAATCTAATAGTTGATGTCACATTTTTGTGATCTAATAGTTGATGTCACATTTTTGTGATCTAATAGTTGATGTCACATTTTTGTGATCCAATAGTTGAGGTCACATTTTTGTCAACAATGACTGACTGACTGAGTTTGGTTTTACGCCGCTTTTAGCAATATTCCAGCAACATCACGGTGGGGGACACCAGAAATGGGCTTCACACATTGTACCCATGTGGGGATTCGAACCCGGGTCTTCAGCGTGACGAGCCAACGCTTTAACCATTAGGCTACCCCAACGCCCCTGTCAACAATGAAGCACTGTGACATCATTTGGCTTCAGTTGACTAATCAGCATTAATAATCACTAAAAAGCACATACTAAAACTATTGGAGTTATTAGACATGATCACTTTCCCTGTGCTAGTGTATGGTATAACTTACTTGACCAGCAGAAACTATACACAAATGTGGTAAAATGGTTTTCTTTTCATTTGATTCTGTCAGATTATCCTGCAAATAGTTTTGTCACTGTAAGCTCTCAGTTTTCTTCTTCTGTACACCTGATGTCGATTCTAGGATAGAATGGCTCCCAATCAACCAATGTGGTTGGGAATGTGACCAAATATACTGCTCAAAACAACCCACAACTGAAATTCTGCCTCATTCTGAGTCATATATGAGTAGTATGTGATAGCATGTGAGGACACTGTGACCTGGTACAGTGAGTGATTGAGTTTAGTTTAGTTTAGCGCCGCACTCTGTAAATACCGGTAATTGGATCTGGACCAGAAAATCCAGGGATCAACAGCATGAACATTGATCTACGCAGTCAGCGAGCCTGACCATCCGATCTTGTTAGTTGGCTCTTA